CATGGGTGCACACACATACAAGCAGGCAATACACTCATATACATAAAATAATAAATAATATATATATATATATATATATATATATTAGAAATCACATTCTAATAAGGCACTGCATACTTCAAACAAAGAGATTTTTAATTTTCTTATAGCCAAAAGAACTAAATATATAAAGTGACTGATGGATGGATACGTTGCTCCTGAGTCACTCACTCCACAGTTATATTAAAATATCACACTGTATTTCAAATATATATAAAGTTTTTGCCGATTATGAATAAAACTTTTGAGGACCAAATCCAATGTGGGGCAGGGTGGTGAAGGTAGGCTATGAAGCAGATGACAAATGAGAACAAAGCATAGTGACACATGTATGATGCTAATGCTGTTGACAAAATTTAGAATCACCATGGAAACACACCTGTGGGGGTGTCTATGAAGATTTTTTACAAAAAGGCTTAACTGAAGAAGAAGACCCATCCTACATGTAGGTGGTACCAACCTAGGGTTTGGATTCCCAGGCTGAATAAACAGTAGAAGGCACCTAGAGCACCAACATCCATCCTTTTCTGCTTCCTGACTGTAGTGTTGCCAGACTCATGATCCCACTGCCATGACTTACCTGCCACAAAGGACTGCACCCTCAAACTGTGAGCCAAAATTAACCTTCCTTCTTTAAGTTGCTTTTGTCAAGTATTTTGTCACAGCAAAAGAAAAGTAACATGTATAATATACCATACATAATACACATATATGAAAATGTCATGAAATCTATTACCTTTAACATAACCTTTAACATATTATATGTGCACATAAATAAATAACATTAATAAATCGGGAAAATAATTGCACTCTGGAACAGCTTATGTACCTGAAGGGAGATGTCTGTCATGATAAACTCCAATAAAACTAATGGGTTCTGTATGTATGTATTTGTGTTATAATCCTTGTGATACTAAAGAAGTACAAAATATGATTAATAAGAGAAATAAAATTAGATAATTGCTAGACTTTTATAATTTATTTATTTTATGTATGAGTATTTTTCCTGCATGTACATAAATGCCCCTGTGCATGCAAGGCCCAAGGAGGCTAGAAGAGAACAGTGTATCCTCTGAAACTGAAGTTAGAGATAGTTGGTAGCTGCTACATTGGTGTTGGGAATTGAACCTGGGTTCTCTGGGAGAACAACCAGTGGTCTTAACTGTGCAGCCATCTCCAAAGTCCCGGTCTTCCTCTACAGATAACACGTCCTTGAGATTTTCTTAGTTTAAAAGAGCTTTTCTTCTTTTCAAAATTTCATTTATTTATCTTTCTTTTCTGTGTCTGAGTGTTTTGCCTGCATGTATACAAGTGCACTATGTATGTGCAGTAGTAGTGGAGGTCAGAAGAGGGTGTCAGATCCCCTGAAACTGGAATTACTACTACAGTTGTTAGCAGCCAGGTGGGTGCTGAGAACAGAATCTGGGTCCTTTGCAAGTGCAGTCACTGCTCTTAACCACTGAGCCATCTCTCTATCCCTAATCAGTAGACTTTTTAATAGAAAAGTTTAATGCCCAAAACAGGGTATTGGATTTAAGATACTTATGGAAAAGTAAACTAAGAGAGCAAAATATTTTAGAACCAGCAAAACTGACTTTAAAAGCTATAAAGCACAGAACAAATCCAAACAATACACAAGAACCTAGAGAATTATCTTTTGTGAGACTCTTTTTAAGGAAATCTGTTAAAGAATGAGCTATGAAAATAGAAATAATTAGAAAAAATCAACACAAAGCCTGGCAGTGAATATTAGGTATATACTTGAGACACTAAGAATAAATGATGATTAATTTTATAGTATGAGCTGTTTGTATGTGGTGGCAATGTAGATATATTAAAATATTGTAAAAATGAGGAGAAATAGAAGGGACCATGCAAGGAAATTTTTAATTGTTTTACCTAATTTTCATTGTAGAGGCATCATTAAGCACTATATTGCTTGAAGGTAGAATGCAATGGATTATTAATAATGACATTTTATTTTAAATTTTACTTATTTTTATTGTACGAGTGTGTTCATGGTGTGAGGGGACTTGAGTGCCTTGGTGCACATGTGGATGTGACGTTCTGTCTGTTCACCTTTACATGCTTTCTGGGATCAAACTCAGGTTGCCAGGCTTGAGCAGCAAGTGCCTTTAACCATGAGAAATCTTGCTAACCTTAACTATGAGACTTTAGTTCATTGTCTCTAGTGTCCTGATAGCCCAGAGAGTTGGTAGTGAGAAATGAAGAAAAAAATACTGTAATTCTAGAATTGAATTAGAAATATTCATAGGACACATGGGGATTTTTCAGCTTTATTGATGTATAGTCAACAAATAAAATTTAAAATATTTTCCATGATGATTTGGTAATGA